GGACAGATTTGTTAGTTCTTTTAGCAATCCATGGTACTTTCGGCATTCTTCACCAGCACCACAACTCAAAAGCATCAACTCTTCTTTGGTCTTCCATATTCATTGTCCAGCTCACACATGCATATGAGACAATTGAAAATACCATGGCTTGTGTCAGGCACACCTTAGCCCTCAAAGAGACATCTTTGCTCTTCAGCACTTGAAAGAGGTCCTTTGCAGACGATTTGCCAAGTGCTATACGTCCTCTGGGGAGCTCTGGTAAAATAGTACCTAAGGCACTTGACTGCTAAACAGAAGGCCGGTGGTTCAAACCCACCAGCCACACCTCGGAAGGAAGGTTGGCAATCTACTTCTGTAGTGATACTGCCTCAGAAACCAAGGAGGGGTTGCTATGAGTCAGGTTCAACTTGACAGCACATAACAACAACAACAACAGCATACATCCTCTGATGTCCTGACTGCTGCTTCCATTGGTGTCAATTCTAGAACCAAGCAATGTGACGTCTTTGACAACTTCAGTCTTTTCTCCATTTATCGTGATACTGCTTATAGGTCCAATTGTGAGGATTTTTGTTTTCTTTATATTGAGATGTAATCCATACTGCAGACTGTATTCTTCAACTTTCATCAGTAAGTGCTTCAAGTCATCCTTACTTTCAGCAAGCAAAGTTGTGTTGTCAGCATGTTGCAGGTTGTTAATGATTCTTCCTCCAATCTTGATGCCACATTCTTCTTCATATAGTCCACCTTCTCGAATTATTTGCTCAGCATATAGATTGAATAAGTACGGTGAAAAGACACAACCATGATGCATTCCCTTCTTTATTTTAAACCATGCAGTGTCCCCTTTTTCTATCTGAATGACAGCCTCCTGGTCTATGTACAGGTTCCTCATGACTACAATCAAGTATTCTGTAATTCCCTTTCTTCTCAATGTTATCCTCAATTTCTTATGATCCACAAAATCAAATGCTTTTGCATAGTCAATAAAACACAAGTAAACATCTTTCTGGTATTCTTTCCTTTGAGCCAAGATCCATC